TTCTCTCTCCCGCTCTCCTTCCTTCCTTCCTTCCTTCCTTCCTTCCTTCCTTCCTTCCTTCCTTCCTTCCTTCCTTCTTTCCTTCCTTCTTTCATTTTTTCTTTCCCAATACCACATATATCCCATCCACACTGGAGACCACTGTCTTGAGATGTCTCTCAATTTTATCCCAGTATGATATCTTAGAAGTTAGATATTCAAAAAGAGGAGAGAAAGAGCCACAGATATCCCTTGAAACAAGGCTTAACAAAGGTATATTTCTATCCCTAGCTTCATGTTGTCATTTAGAGTTGGGGAAAATCTAGAAGCCAAATGCAACTCTCACTCTTAAAGCCTCATCATGATTTTGACTTAACAGTAATTAATCACCAATGGAAAGTGGGTAATTTTTTAAGGTGGCCGGAGGCTTATTTTATCAGGATTAACTAATAAATCAGGCTGTATCACTGAAGGAGGAGTTCAAACTCTTCTAGGACTGAATAAACCAGACCTCAGAAACTGTCTCATTTATTCAGCTCTCCCAGAGCTTCCAGGCACTGAGACATTGTGGTTCAACCTTGCCTATAAAAATTGAAGGGAAGAAGAAGCAGGAAGTTTCATAGGGAAAAATATATGCTCAGTCTCTGAAGGGTGAGCTGCGACAACGAGGCACCCAGCATGCCGAAGCCAACAGGCCTGCCTGTGACGAACTGAGTCAGTTTAGGGGAAGAATTATTTAGAAAATGAAGTTTTCCTTGTCGTAGGAACACTGGCTAGATATGTGTATGTATATATGTGATATCATACATATGATATAACCATATCATAACCTTTTCTACCTTCCTCATACAAATGATGATAATTCTACTTCTTTGTTACAATACAAGGGAGTCCAAATAATATCGGAAACAGTAATGATCCCAGTAAGAAGGGATCATGAGAAGAAACCAAGGAATATTGTTAAAGTTAATCTTCATTTGAAATAAAGAAGCAAATAAAGTGCTCCAACCCAGATCTCATAGGAAGCTCAGCTCTTCACAACTGTCTTTTGCCTCTAGTGGGTTTTGATTTTTTTTCTAACTTGAAAATCTCAAATCGTCACAAGAACTGATCATTAAGATGGGCAAAGGAATTCCCTACATATGCTTTTTAATTTTAATTATTACTATTGTTGAATCTGGGGACATATTAGAATGACAAAGGTTTGGCACAATCCTAGATTAGCTTCTAGGGAGCTTGATTGGAAAGGGAAAAACTACATAGCTATGGTTGACTTGAGAGGGGAGAAAAGGAAACAAATTTCGAACACTGCCTCCCCATTCCACCTTTCTAGTTTCTCTTCCGAATAGACAGACATTTTCTCCATATTGGATAAAGGTTGGTTTCTCTCTCCATTACAGCCCCCACCCTCACCCCACCCCAACAAACCCAGTATATTTCCATTCTTCTGTGTTTTTGTGCTACTCAACATGCCATTAACTTTAAGATTTACTCCTCAGCAGGCAAGCTGGAAGATGCTAAAGCCAATAAAAACTGCTCTCTGGGACTCCAACTATGAAGAGTTTGGAGCTGTGCTTAGTATTCGGATGAAGGGAGGGCTGGAGAAAGAGGGAGGTTGTGATAGTGAAAACCACTGCTGCTTAGAGAGCCAGACAGCTCCGTGCTCTGCACCTAATGTGCCGGAGGATCAGCTCTGTTCATAGCCCATTTGTGGCCAAGGATGAGGTTGCTGTGTGTGTGTGTGTGTGTGTATGTGTGTGTGTGTGCATGTGCGTGTGTGTTTTCATCCTTAAAACCACCACCTCTAACACAGCATCTTCAGTGGCTCTCCACACTACTGTTTATTAAAAACAGAATGTCCACACACATCCTTTACAACTTCCATAGCCTGATGCTCCTTCCTTGCCTGACAATCAATCTCTCTCAGAGAGCATTTAACTTGCCCACACAGCTCCAGCCCCAATTAATCCCCACTGCACATCCTATATATTACTGTTAGGGAGCAGAGCACTGGGCTAATTTCGTCACCCACCAGCCACCCACACACGTTCTACAACTGAACACATTTGGGGCTCTGCTTTAAAGATAATAAAACAAGGAGAAAACAGGAAGGCTGCAGACAATTCCCATGACTACTTCCTAAAAAGTTACTGGGTTTTAATTCTTTGATTATTCTGTCTCCCCTCCCCCAAGCATTCACTAGCAATGATTGCTTCAAGGGAGAGAAATAATGTACTATAAACCTCTCTGCATGGTGAGTTTGGGATAATTTAGGCTACACCTTCAAAATGCATATCTTGCACACACAGATTTCCCCCCACAAGCCTCACTTTCCTGAAAAGGGGATCGTTCAGGCTTGCCCAACTCCCCACTCCACCCTGGGGATAGCTGGTTCCTTGCTAATTCTTGCCTTAGGTTCTGTCCCTCCTTCCTTCAAACATCCAATCCCCCTCCCCCACCACTAACACCACAACCGGATTATTGAGGTACACAGCTCTATAGGGAGAGTTTACTGTTAAACTGATAAGCTAAATAAAAATAGCTCTTTAAATTTGTCACCTCTCTCCTTTTTTAGACGGCCGCGCTCCTGCTACTCTGGCCCGGAGCGGAGGAGGAGGAGACCATCTCCTCTTAGTATTTTCAGCACCACCGCGATGGACAGCACCCGCGATCCCCGGCCGGCTGAGCGCCTGCCAGTCTGCTCAGAGTCCCGGGCTCTGCCGGTGCAGACGTCCCCATCCCAACCATTCAAGTCGCTGTACCCAAAAATCCAAGCCCCGTTTCCCTTCGATCCTGTCTTTCTCTTCTTCTGCTCCCACTGCTCTCTCCACGGCACCGCTTCTATCAGCTCCTCGCCCCAAACCCAGCCTTGCCCCAGAGAACAGCTCCCCACGCACCCCAGTCCTGGTCTCTGCTGCCCGAGCGCCTCCCTCCTCGGTGTCCGCCCGAGGCTCCCTCTCGCGCTGTCTCTCGCTAGTCAGTCGCCTGCCGGCCGGCCGGCCCGCCCGCCCGCTCCTTCTCCACAGCAAAGTTGGGAGGGAAAGGTGCACTCACCTTTGTGCATGCCTGTGAACCTGTCCTTCAGAACCGTAAGCTCGTAGATCTTGCCGAACTCCTCGAAGAGGGGCTTGAGGTCTTTCTCATCCAGGTTGCGGGGGATCTGCCCAATGAACAGCTTGATGGCATCGTGGTCCTTCATGGGAATGGTCGACGGGTTCCCCGGGCTGTGGCTTAATCCGTTCATGTGCCCGGCGCTACCCGGGCTGCTGCCGAGCCCGTTGGTACTGAGGCTCGCGTTGTCAGCCTGTCCGTTTGCTAACGTGGCCATCTTTATATACATAGAGAAAATCTTCTTTCCTTTTATTCTTTCTCGCTCGCACTCTCTCGCTCCTCTCCCTCGCAAGCTCGCTCGCGCTCACACACGCACACACATACACACACTCGGGTTCTCTTCCCCTCGGTTTCTCTATACCTCGCTCTCCTCTCGCTCTCTGCTCTCTTTCTCTCTTCTCTCGCTCGCTCGCGCTCGCGCTCTCTCTCTCCTCTCCCCCCTCTCTCTCTCCCTCCCTCTCCTCTCTTCTCTCTCTCTCTCTCTCTTTCGCTTTGTTTCTCTCTCTCTCTCTCTCTCTCTCCCTCTCATATCCTAATATGGGGCCAGAGGGCAAAGAAGAAACATGTCAGTCAGACCAGGGGTGGGGGCGGCGAGTGTGCGCGCGCAAAGGAGGGGGGCGCGAAGCCCTGAGAGGGCACGATGTTGAGGGGGCTCCCGCCTGGCAGCGGGCGGCGGCCGGCAGCTGGGCGGTGTGGGGCGGCGCCGGCCTTGCGCGCCTCCCCCGTCGGCAGCCCCGGCGAGCGGCGGTGGTACAGTCCGAGACAGCCCCCGGCTATAAATAGCGCCAGGCGCATGGCTCTTCGGGAGGCGCTGAGATTCCGGCGCGGCGGCCGCGGGGAGCGGGTGCATGTTAGGAACCGGGCTGCTGGCCTCTTCCTTGCCTTTTGGGGGTTCTTTTTGTTACAGCAGCAGGTGCTACTTTTTATATTTTAAAAACATAGGTTTTCATTTTCGTGTGGGTATGTAGGGTGGCGTTATCCATTGAGCTGCGCTCTATTAGGGTGCCAGGCGCGCGAAGCAAAGGCAGGGATGGCGGGCGGGGCGGCGGCGAAGGCGGCGGCGGAATGGGCAATTTTCTCTCCCATCTGGTTCCCTGTATTTATTTATTTAGACTAGAAAAAGCGACCCGGCTTGGAGGGAGGCCGCCCAGCGATCCGAGTGCGCATTGATCAGTGTCGAGAGAAAAAAAGCTACAAAAATATATATTATGTGGATAATCTATAGACAAGAGCTCTTTCGCGCGCGCGCGCGCGCTGTCTCTCCGTCTCTTTCCGCTTTTTTCCTCCTCGCATTCCCAACCTGCCAGAGCAGCCCCAAATCTTCGCCCTCCTGTACGGCATTTACCGCTACCTAAGCCACCTGGGAGGAAAGGACTGGGAAGCGGTTGGGCCGCGCTGGGGGGACGGGGCGTATTGTTTTGGGGCCTGACCCTCGTCCCAGCCCGCTTGCAAAGGCTGGAGGTGTGTGTTTCCGTCCCGGACTGCCTCCTCCGCCCCGAAGAGCGGCGGCTGGTCCGGCAGGCTGCTGGCGGGAGGAAGGTAGGAGCCGGGCGCCTCGGCCAGTTCGCCCGCGGGGAAGGCGGCAGGCTCTGGGCTCGGTGGCCAGTGCGAGGGACCGGCTTGATTTTGCCCTTGTCTGCTTTATTGGTTCGAATCGAAAAATAAAATTTTTTTTTCTTAATCTATTATCAAAGTAATAAAGCCCTCAATCGCTTTCCGGGCTGCAGCCGGACCCAGACTGGCGCGCCGTGCGCTGCCCCCACAGGCTTCTTTTGCTACACCTCCCGCTCCAGAAGTGCGAGCCAGGGAGTCGCGTCTGCGGGCGAGAACCAAGGGTCCGGCCAACTAGCCGGGACTCCGCTGGGTTGCCCGCCAGCCTCGCCGGGGCTAGAATATCGGCTGCGCGGGAAAGGGAGTGGCTGGTGCGGGAGCTGGGTCTAAGCAGCCCCGCCTCTGGGGGCGAATGCTGGTGGTGAACTTGGGTTGGGAGAGCAGATTTTCATTTAATGATATTTACCTGCACCCCATCTTCTCCCACAGTTGCTTTTCCAGGGCAGCCTCTTCTCGGCTTCAGAAGCCAGCAAATTAAAATAACGCGCTGCTCCCCCGCGGGTTGCAGAGCAGAGCTTCTGGCCTGACCCTGGTCCGGCCCCCACCACCCCTTTCGAGTGTTCTGGGTTTCTCTTTTCTTGTCCTCGGATTACATGACGTTACTAGACGATATGTTTAAAATTTTATTTAAAGAAATGAAACCCCAGCTGCCTGAAAACCGAGACCAAGCCCGTTTGGTACAACCACAACGCGGAGCTCTCCAGCACCCGGAGGAGGCCTGAGGAGGCCCTGAGGTTTGCAGGCCCAGGGCCCACCTGGGACACCTCTCCCGGAGGATCTTGGGCCCAAACAACACAGCAAGTATAATCTGAAAACTGTGGAACTACATCCTTTCATTTTAAGATTCTCCTGCCTTTGCTTGATGGAATAGTGTGTAAGTACACGTGATTCATAACTCGGTTCCCGGGCTTACATTATCCATTACATTATGATGGCCTAAGAATCACTCAAGTTGATGGAATCAAACAGAAACTCACACAGAGAGCTTCTCTGCCATGTGGCTGTGTGCTTGGTGTGCCTGTGAAGTGCTGTAATGAGGTGTATGTCTCTGGTAGCCACATGTAAGTTCTGAGTGTGTGGCTTGGAAGTATGTGTAAATGTGTCATCAGGACTGTGGGTGCTTGTGTGGATGTAATGTCGATATGTACATAGACCCTGTTTGTATCCATACTCTGCCCCCGTGTGTGTGTGCGCATGCGTGCATGCCCACCGGGCTGAGACCTCCTTCCTTTTCCCTTAGGACACATCAGCAGAGGCCAATAACTTTGTCCAAAATATCTCCTCCAACATCATCTGTGGCACTGGCGCTTACCGCTCAAGATCTCACAACGGAAGTCGAATATATTTTCTGCCATAATAGGGGATTTTAGGAGAATAATTCCTACTTGAGGTCTCTTTCTCTCCCTGCCTCCCACCTGCTTAAAGTGAAGTAAGAACATGGGGCAATGAAGGGAGCGAGCTGAGTGGCTGAGAAAGGAGGGACCTATGTAGGATAGGGTGGCTGAGGTTCACCCTCTACTCTTCCTGCCATCACCCCAGACCTCATTCAAGTAAGTTATTCACAGGTGTTTCATTATTTATATTATTATTAATAATAGCCAATACATAAATAAAAGCAGTCATTGGGCAGGAGTGGGTGGGAGAGGAGTTGTTAATGAAAGGGGGCATCTGGTTATTTCAGATGCCTGTGAAAACTCCATATGGTATAGCACCAACTCCCTCTAGAACTACACCTCTGCCCCGCTGCACCATGGCCCCCTCCCTGTGTCTTTCCACATATGGATGCAAAGCTATGGAGAGCTCCTTTAGGGAAAGGTTCCTCATTCTCCCATCTCTCCCACCTGATTTGGATTTCGGCTGTCTCCTGTTAGGGGGTTACACATTCCTCACCTCTCAGCTTGCAGGTGTTTGGTGAAATGCACTCCCCACCCCCCACCAGCTTGCTGGGGCAGAAGTAACCTGGACACCAGTCCCCATATAACTGAGCCCCATATAAGTGATTTGTCAAAGCATGATCTCTGAAAGGTACCGAGCTGGATTTCTTAGGCTCCCACCTCTCTGCCACAGCAGAGTGTTGGGGATAAAGTAATACACACAGGTATCTCTAATGCAATAAAGAACAGGGCCCCTGAGAAAATTGCAAGGAACACAGTAGGTTGGCTCTTTTGTATCCTTGCCCTTGATATTCCAGAAAGACTTGAGCTATTTTTATTTTAAACCTTATCATCAAAGA